TAATAATATTATAAATTAAAACCGAACAAGTAAGGAAGGGCTAAGTTCGGATGTAACCGAACATTTTATACTCTCGCAAAGTCAAATGGTATACTCGTTTGAGATTTCTTTGTGGATTGACTGATATTTTCGGTAGAAGGTCGACTATAGGCACTGGGGTCCACATATTTAGTACTTAGCGGCTTGAACAGTTTTGGTTCGATTTAGACAATTTTTGGCCACAAGGTGGCATACTTTAATCGCATTATTCACGCAAAGTTTTATCCCGATACAGTCATTGTTGCCTGATTTGCATAGTGGAAAGTGAAAGAATCAGATGGAATTTAAAATGGTGTTACATGGGAAGTAGGCGTGGTTGTAGTCCGATTTCGCCCATTTTCGCACTATGACATAGAAACATGAAAAGAAAGTTATGCACCAAATTTGGTTGTAATCGGTTAAGCAGATCTCAAGATATGGGTTTTCACCTAAAAGTGGGATGTGCCACGCCCACTGTCTAATTTTGATTCCTATAAAGTCATCTCATACCATCCCAGAGATAAAATTTAATGTCTCTGGCGTGTTTAGTGCTTGATTTATCGCGGTTTTAGTAGTTTTTAACAGTACCGTTATATGGGGAGTGGGCGGAGTTGCCACCCCATTTCACCCATTTTCCCACTGTAGGTAGAGGTTCTAAAAACTTTTGCTTCCAGTGAATTTTGTTATTATTGCATTAGCAGTTTAGGAGATATGCACAATAAAACTATTAGGGGCAGGACCACGCCCACTTAAAAAAAAAATTAACTGCAGATGCCCCTCCCTATTGTGATCCTGTATATCAAATAAGAGTCTTGTATCTTGTTGTGGAGCATAGTTATGGCAATTTATTTGTTTTTGAATAATGGCGTTTTGTGGGCGTGGCAGTGGTCCGATTACGCCCATCTGCAATACCAACCGTCTCACGGTATCAAGAAACATGTCTATCAAGTTTCATAAAGATATCTCAATTTTTACTGAAGTTAGAGCTTGCACGGACGGACGGACAGACGGACGGACAGACAGTCACCCGGATTTCAACTCGTCTCTTCATCCTGATCATTTATATATACATAACCCTATATCTAACTCGATTAGTTTTAGGTGATACAAACAACCGTTAGGTGAACAAAACTATTATACTCTGTAGCAACAGTGTTTGCCACACGGTTCTATTAAAAACATCCAAAAAATTTCCATTGCTATAGTACGGTTGGTATTTTGTTTTAAAATAGGCCTCAGCCGCGCAATTTCCTTCTAATAATCATTCCCTTGAGATCTGTGAATCGGAAATAATCGTTCAGGCCCAAATCCAGAAAATACAGTTGACGGGTAGCAATTGGAAGCAATTTTACCAGCGTTTTCATAGATTTGTCTTGATTCTTAGGAGGTGCGACACCTATTTTGCACAGGGACTTCAAATACCCAAATTTTCATGAATTACATCCTAAACTTATTTTGATATCTTTATATGTAGTTTACTTTACTTCATTTTGCGGTTATTAATCACAAAACTTCGCTTTTATCTTCATTTTTCCTTCTTTAAAATACCAAATCATCTAACCACAACACAATAGGAGTCCAAAAATGTGCCACTGTGCTTAGCTTAGTCCACTAGGCAGTCAGTAAACCAACCATTCAACCATCCAAGCAGCCGAGCAGCCGAGCCCAGCGCTCCGCTGCCAAAAGTGCTTGGTAAACAAGTAATCAAAAAGTCGGTGTTGCTTGTTACGCGCCTTTTACATTTCAATTCGAAAACAAAATGCATATCATAAATTGTATACAATATATTCATCGCTTCCGTAAAATAAAAGAATTAACGCAACATCAGTAGGGTAAACAAATCTTCATTATTATTTTGCCCGAGAATTTTGTGTAACAACAGCGATGTGTTTGTAAGTTTACATTGACCGTTATTGTGTGTCGATTTGGCCACTTTTGATAGCTCAAACCAATAGCTACATACATTTACTCATACTTGAATGTTATACCCATATATTTACACAGTTTAATTTAATGTTCGCTATTTCCCGGCCTATGGACATTCGCGTGCCGGAAATCGTGTACAAAATTCGTAAGTCTGAAATAAAAAACAAGTGGGCAATTCTGCCTTTTATGGGGTTCCAACTATGCCCTATATGTGAATGTTTATCTATGTGTATGTAATATTGTAAATATTTATTAAAAATGGCATAACAAATTGCTATTTTAAAAGTAGACCCATTTTTTAATGTCGCACGTGTCGTGGGTGCGGCGGCCAAATATTGAGCTGCTATAATTTTAATCTATTTTATAATGGCTACTAATTTTAGTAAGTTTATTGCTCTATACAAACACTTACACAAATTTTACAAATTTTTTTCAACTTAGCACCAGGGTTGCAAATAATGGTTTAAAAAAATAATTGAATTAACATTTAAATGTTTTTTTTTTTTTTATTTTGTAATCACAAAAATCGTAATTAAAAATAATTTTCAAATTTCTAAACCGTATTGCCGTTATAGTTTTAATTTAAGTTTCTGGTGAGTTTCCAACGAAACTGTTCTGTTCAAAATATATTTCTTGTCCGCATTTGAAATTCTGTTAAGTGTAAAGTATTCCGAAACAAATTTTTGAAATTCATGTATCGTTATATAAAATATTCACTTATTTGTACGTTTGGTCTCCTCGTCGGTATTATATCTTCGTCGAAAATCAATTTCAACGAGTGATTTTTCGTTTCGAAATTCAAAGCGGCGACGATTTTTTAAACCAATTGTTCAAAACATTGGTATAAGTCCCATGATTCTCTGATTTTAGTGAGGAAACTCTACTTTGATGTTTACAAGTTGCTTTATCACGAAATAAAAGTGCTTTTGGGAGTAGTAGCGTTTGATTTAAGTGATTAATGGGATCTAACTTTTAACAAGTCATAGAATGTCGCTTCCTAAATGAAACTAATCCTACCTCAAATCCAGAAACCAAAAAAAAATTGACAAAATAAAGGCTTGTCTAAAAAAATTTTTTTTATTGCATATTTACACTTCTAAGTGGCTTTAAAAATTTTAAATTATTATCAAAAATTTCTCACCAAGAAGCTGGTCATTTGTCGAAACCCACACAGGTTGTTTTTTAGTTAAGTCGCACAGCCCGAATAAACTTTTTATTCTCAAAAACGCTTGGGAACTTATTATTATTTAACATATTTATTTTATTTTATTAAAAATGATTATCTTAATTATATTTTTAATCAAATTTAGTAGTTTTATTCAATATTACTAATATTTTTCTTGTTTTTATATTCAATTTGATTAAAATCATTTTAATATCACTTATTTTCTAAACATACATACCATATCTTACATTTTGCTTATTTTTGACTTAAGTTAATTTTACTTAACTTAACTTGACTTAACGTTATTTACTTAACCTAATGTTATTGAAATTTATTTCAACAAAACCTATCATTCAGGTATTAAAAGCCCTTCCTTTCATTTAACCATACTTTCATTATTTCAATAAAAGTCTTTGTTTCAAGTCATAACTGTTTTAAGTCGCTGACTCAAATGATTATACTGAAAGAATTGCAACAAAACTCAACTTTGTAATCACACGCACAAATACATACACACATACCCACAATATCATATAAAAGTTCCAGCTCATGTACAATAATAAAATCGGTTTGAGGAAAAGCATGAATTGAGCTTATCACATAAAACCGCAGTGCTTTAACATACATACAATGTACTTATGTTTAATATGTGCATAACATATAAATATAAGCATTGTACAATATGCGCATATGCAAATCGTGAACTTTGTACTTCTTCTAGATTTTGTAAAATTGTAGAAACAAAGTCAACAAGCATAGCATTTATTTCTGCTTCTGTTGAGAGTGGTCCGTTTGTCTTGTTACGTCGTCGGCGTCGATACCGCCGTCGTTAAAGTCAGAATTGATTATCGCCTCTGGATGACGCTAGCTGTCCGGCTGGCTTGTAGCTCGTTAAATATTCGCACTTGCTCAGCACAGCTACAATGCACTCTTAAAGTATGTAAAGCGTCGAAAGTGTGAGCATAAATTATAGAAAATACGAATAAATGCAAATATGCTGCATAAATATTGGCAATGAAAAAAAAAATATATACATATGTATATATGAAAAATAAACAAAATAAAAATGCAGAATTTCATAAATATTTTAAAATTAAAGCTAATTGCGAGTTACTAGTTGTACAAATTTCGCATATATTATATTATTTCATGCAATCGAAATATCACCTTAAATAATTATTGTATACAATTTTGAATTTTTAAAAAATTTTGTTTTATAATTACATTAATTTAATAAAATTTTTCGATTTAACTTTTAACATTCTCTTTTTGTCCCTAAAAGGTATGGAAATAAAACAAAAAAGAGAAAGTACTTTTCAAAAATGTTCAAAATAGGTCAATATCTCTTCCAAATCTCCAAATATAAGCATATCCAACCCTCCAATTGACCATACATCGATTGTCTCTAATACTTTGTATGATTTGGTGCGTTTTGATCTACATCCTGCTTAGGCTCCCATGTGCAACTAAATATTATTTCGGTACCTCATGTTTACTTACTTATATATGTGTATATCGGTCAATCTAATTAAAATTATTCACTCAGCGGAATGTCAACACTTGATAAGAACGGTATATAGCTTCTCTTAGTCCCCATATACTGTATACACTGCTTACCATTACTCCGATTATTTGCAAAAAAAATGTACAAAGGCATGTTTCTGAAAACATAATAAGCCAATCAATGTCTTATAACGGTTATTTGATTTCAACCGAAAACTTTCATTAAAAATCAAATTTTTATTGAGATTTCAAAATTTAATATTTGGTTTCCTTCGAACCTAACCTATCTTTACTTGTTGCTATAATGATTCATTTAATTTATGCCGATTAAAAATGCTTTGTTTCTGCCCTTAACTGAATTTAATTTAATTTTTTTCTTTCTTTACAGATATCACTTTACGCCTGAGTGACTTCATTGTACACGTGATTGCATCAGACACAAAGGCGACCCTTTCCCATTCTCCTTATAGTGTGAAACTCAGCGTCGTACGTCAAAGTGTGCGTTTACAACAACTTTACAACTTTACCGCTACGTGAAAAGTGTTTGTGTGTTTGTCCACTCATTGCCTTCATTGCGGAGTCTCCGCATCCATTTCCCTACACCCCACATGCCATGATGCGTTACTCGGAAATCTCCAGAGAATTATCGACGGATAGTTTGCGTTACGTTGAAGTAGGTAGTAACGGCTAAAACATATTTTATAGACATTCGCACTTGTTGTTGTAAGAAAAAATCTAGTTGTACTCTCATTTTATCTTTGCAGCTAGGCGAGGAGTATATCTATAAGAATTTACGCGAAGATTCGCCGCGCAGTGACACCCATTCCAATGCTAGCAGCGGTTGCATGGCACCACCAACATACGCTACCAGCAATCATCACCAACACCTTACACAGCAAGAACAGCAACAACAACAATTGAATTTACAACAGCAGCAACAGCCACAGCCACAGCATCACCGCGCCGATTACACTAATTCGATGAACAATTGCGGCCAACAACACTCAGCCGGTTTACGCAATTCCAAACGTTATTCGTGTGGGCGTAACGGTAGTCATGATGGCGCCGCAACCATTTCCTACATGCGTCCACGCAAGGATAGCACACGCTCAACGCAGAGTTGTCAATTCGATGCCGAACAGTTGACGCAAGCAATCGCCAGCAAGACAATGCATGTGAAAAGTAGTCGTCGCAAAAACTCCATTGGCTGTCTGAATTCGTTGTCCTCATCGCCGGGCTCGCCGGGTTGCTACTACTGTGTTGGGTAAGTGACTGCTCATTCAATAAACTCATGTGTCATATATGAAACGTGTCATCATGTTACTTTATCTAACTAATCCTACTGTTTTCTATACTGCCCGCAGCACCGCACCACCGCCCGGAAAGAGCCAAAGTCTGCCCGCACGCTCGTCTATAAACAATTTAGATGCGGTCATTTTGAATGCTCTACGCGTGCCGGCTGACGAGTTGGCCAATCAGATTACGCTCTTGGATTTTCCCATCTTCGCTGCCATACAACCGGACGAGCTGACCAGTTGCGCTTGGACGAAGAAGGACAAACACGTCGTCACACCAAATATTGTTGCATTTACGAAACGTTTCAATCACACCAGTTTTTGGACTGTGCAGGAGATATTAAGCGGCGAACAGCCAAAGCAACGTGCCGAAATACTGACACACTTCATTAAGGTGAGAAACATTTTCTATTTTTTAATTAATTTGGGATGCCTTGTGAATTTGGTAAGGGTATTTTTTTTTTGTTGTAGTGACCGTAATAATTTTTTCAAGTTCAGTTCTTGGTCGGATAAAAGATCGGTTCCGGTTCGTTTACGAGAGCCGACGAGAAATTACTGACTCGACGTGTTTTTACTGGTTAGAGTATTAGCACTTTACTGTTTCCCGAAGAGTTGAGTCTAAGAAATACGGCAACATTCTTTAGAATTATTTGAGGAATGAATGGATCAACCGATTTTTTTTATACTCTCGCAACCTGTTGCTACAGAGTATAATAGTTTTGTTCACCTAACGGTTGTTTGTATCACCTAAAACTAATCGAGTTAGATATAGGGTTATATATATATAAATGATCAGGATGAAGAGACGAGTTGAAATCCGGGTGACTGTCTGTCCGTCCGTGCGCCCGTCCGTCCGTGCAAGCTCTAACTTGAGTAAAAATTGAGATATCTTTATGAAACTTGGTAGACATGTTTCTTGGTACCGTGAGACGGTTGGTATTGCAGATGGGCGTAATCGGACCACTGCCACGCCCACAAAACGCCATTAATCAAAAACAAATAAATTGCCATAACTAAGCTCCGCAATAAGATACAAGACTGTTATTTGGTACACAGGATCACATTAGGAAGGGGCATCCGCAGTTAAAATTTTTTTTTTAAGTGGGCGTGGTCCCGCCTCTAACAGGTTTAATGTGCATATCTCCTAAACCGCTAATGCTATAATAACAAAATTCACTGGAAGCAAATGTTTTTAGCACTTCTATTGACGGTGTGAAAATAGTTGAAATCGGGTGGCAACTCCGCCCACTCCCCATATAACGGTACTGTTAAAAACTACCAAAAGCGCGATAAATGAAGCACTAAACACGCCAGAGACATTAAATTTTATCTCTGGGATGGTATGAGATGACTTTATAAAAGTAACAACAAAATTAGACAGTGGGCGTGGCACAGCCCACTTTTAGGTGAAAACCCATATCTTGAGATCTGCTTAACCGATTTCGACCAAATTCGGTGCATAACGTTGTTTTCATGTTTCTATGGCATAGTGCGAAAATGGGCGAAATCCGACTACAACCACGCCTACTTCCCATATAACACCATTTTAAATTCCATCTGATTCTTTCACTTTCCACTATGCAAATCAGGCAACAATGACTGTATCGGGATAAAACTTTGCGTGAATAATGCGATTAAAGTATGCCACCTTGTGACCAAAAATTGTCTAAATCGAACCAAAACTGTTTAAGCCCCTAAGTACTAAATATGTGGACCCCAGTGCCTATAGTTGACCTTCTACCGAAAATATCAGTCAATCCACAAAGAAATCTCAAACGAGTAAACTATTTGATTTTGCGAGAGTATAAAATGTTCGGTTTCATCCGAACTTAGCTCTTCCTTACTTGTTTTTCATTTATTTCCTTCCATTCAAATACTAAAACTATCATGTCATATTATTAAAAAACAAATATTTTTAACATATTTTTTAAATTTTTTTTTGTTAAATTATATATAGCTTAATGATTTCATGTATTTCTACAAATGTCGTATTCCAACAGGTGTCCAAGAAACTGCACGAACTCAACAATCTGCATTCGCTGTTCGCCATCGTTTCCGCCATGCAAAGTGCCAGCATTTTCCGTTTGAAAAAGACTTGGGCTTGCCTGTCCAAAAAGGATCGGCAAGCATTTGAACGACTGAGCGATATATTCAGCGATCAAAATAATTGGGAGAATTTACGTGCCTATTTGGAGAGTCTACGTCTACCATGCATACCCTATTTGGGCTTATTCCTGACCGATCTAATTTATATTGATTTGGCACATCCACATAAGGGTGGTCTCGAACCCGAGCAACGACGCAATAAGATGAATAATATTTTGCGCGTCATCGCCAATTATCAACAGTCAAACTACACGCATATAATACCAATTGAGGCAACACAAAAGTATTTGACATCCATACGCTATATTGAGGAGTTGCAGAACATCTTCGAAGAGGATCAATATAAGTGAGTTTAGCAAATGCATACAATCACTTTGTTCACTATTCATAATAACTATATGTGTTTTTTTTTTACAGAAAATCTCTAAAATTGGAGCCCGCCTCACCGTCCGGTCCCAGTTCATCGTCTTGCAGCTCGAAAGAGTCTTTCAATATAGACGCTATCACACCGGCATTAGCTTGCTTGAATCTCTCACCCGCCAAAACGATCGGTTCCATGCGCATCGCCAACAGTAGCGGCACTAAATTTATACCCGGCCATCGCAAATGTCGCAGCCTGGGCACCAAGTAAGTTCTAAATCTCACTCTAGTGACGTCTCAGTAGCGTCGTTCGTCTTATATAATATTAATTAGCTACTATACTATACAATTGCTAAATAATTAAAAGTACTATGTATTTGTATTTATATAACACTTGTAATTTTACAATTTGTGTTTTTTGTATTTCTTTGAAATGCCTTCTCACTAACATCTGTCACCTGCAACGCAAACGACACACCCATCATGCAATCTTTTTTACTTCCTTTCTCTCTTTTTGTATCTGTGTACTTAACTAACTCACCATATCATTCAATTGGATGTACATACAAACATACTTTACATTAAACGTCGCGTGCGTCTGCGAAACAAATATGCGAACGAAATTCTACAACGATTGTGTGCTGCCAAAACAAAAACAATAACAATTTGCTTAATTCATAACTATTATTGCTTTGTATGACATTGTCATGTGTGCTGGCAGATTTCGCAGCACAAGCTTGCCGCGAAATTTCTATCACAAATGCCAATGCTCCATTATGATGATCGCACCCGGTATTGGCACCATTTCGAATAAGCGTTGTAGATGCAGTCGGTGAGTTCAAATTGATACATAACATTGTTCGAATTCGAAATTACAAAACCATTTGGCTTTTTGTGCTCTATTTTCACGTTTACATAATTTATTAATGCAGCTTGTTAAATTTCTGCGCCTTTTTTTTTGAATTGCTTAAAGATTTTACTCTTTTGTTGCAAAGCTTTGGAATATTATATTGTTTCCTTGCGTTATCCTAATTTATTGTATTATATTGTATTACAAATACAATATATTGTAGATAATCGTTGAATTTCGTTTTAAGCGGTTTGTGGCCTAGATCTCAAATGTATCTAAAGCAAAAATAAGCTCAGCTATCCTTTCTGAGAAAAAAATAAAATCAAAACACATTATCATGCTTCAATTTGGGAAATAAATTAGTGAATTTTATCAGAGCAACTTTAAAATTGTTTTATTATGTATTTTATTATTTTGGATTATTTGCATTAATTTAGGGCCAGTTCAACTTAATTTGGGAACGTATCTGATTATCTGGCTAATTATATTATATATTCCGAACAGCGCAATTCGCCGTCCTCTTCGCATCGAAATAAATTTTTTCAAAAGAAAAATAGTTTTTCGATATCGCAATGAAGCATATTATTTACACACCGATAAATTGGATCCCATCAAAATTTAGAATATGTTTGATAATGTATAAATGTCAAATATGCCTAAAACAAATTTTCGGTTTAATGTTATAATTAAGAAAATGAAAGTCTGGCAAGGCAAAACATTTCTTCAGTTACTTATATTATTTATTGTAGTGGTTGAATTATGTTGTCTGCATTAAAAATATACATACACTTGTAATTGACACTGTAGGTCGGATTCGAAAATTTCCATTATTTTTTTTTTCGATTTTCCAGCAATTGGCCTTCTAGACCATGGTGCATCTTTGACATCTTAATTACCGTATCGCATCCTAAGTCAAGCAATCACAAAATTGAGTCTGAGCAGTGTTTTTTTTGTAGGAATTCTTTTCTAATGTCATATAACCCGGCCACAGTTATAGTACAACGCGAGATACAGATTACTCAAACCATCTACTGAAAAAGTAGTTATTTTCGTTTTACTAAACCTTGTATAACGCTCTTCTTCTACAAAAATATCTTAAAAGTTAAAAAATATGTAGCTATCAATTTTAAAATTAAAAAAGTCGATTTAACAGGATTTAGTAGTTGTTATAGAAAAATTATATTATTATTAATTTTAAAGTATTTTTAGTTGTAACTTGCAGTCGTACGTATACTTAGTTGACTCACTGTTTGCCTTTGTTGATAGTTTCTGTTGAAATGTTGTACAAAAACAAGTTTTATTTATTTCTAAATTTTTCAAACATATTTTCACATCAAACTAATAACATTTTCCTTCCACTACCTTCTTTTCAGCATTTTCGGCAAAATCACACATTCGCACAACGACAGCGCCAACTATGGCAATCCCACGCTAATGCTCGGCTATGGCGACGAACACTATCTGCACGACTACAGTGTGCTCAGCCAGCAACAAGCGCGCCATCTACTCGACGATTCAGTGTTGGAGCAGAGCAGTAATATGTTGAGTAGCGGTGATGCCACCTCGAACGATAGCGTTGAGGGCGCACTATGCCACAACAGCGATTTGGAGCTGATCTATGCGCCTACGCTCGATCCGGAGAATTGTGTGCAGGGTTGTGTGCGTCGTAAGACGGTGCAGAAGGAGGGCCGTAAGCCCGCTGTGGCCTCGTGGCAACGCTACTGGTTGCAGATTTGGGCCAATTCGCTCGTGTACTTTCCGCCCAAATCATTCAAAGGCAGCGAACGTAGCGACTTCAAGCGCGAACCGTGCAAAGTGTGTCCGATCGAGGGCTGGTTCGCACAAGTCGTCGATAATACAAAACATAAAAACTCATTTGAGCTGTATCATCGCACCTTGGGCACAGTCTACAAATTTCGCACGGATAGCGCGCAGGCGACACAGCTTTGGACCGCCTCCATTTGCAAGGTGGCCATGCAACGCAGTGCACCCAAACCGCTGCCCATCAATTTGATGTCGTTCGAGTGATTTGATGTGCCAAGTGGGCTAAAATGAAATTACGGTAAATGCAACGAGTAGCGGTTACTTTTGAATTTTACAACGCAGGCGGCGTGCCGTGTTTAAAATCTAATGCCCGCTCTATATACTATGCTTGGTGTGGCTTAGTTTTATACTCAACGCTTGTTTAATGTTTGTTGCTTTCATTTAACTTGTCGGCAAATTACTCAAAACATAGAAGAAAGAGCCCGCTTCATATGAAAGTTGGTGATCAGACAACACATTTTACAAAGGAGAATTAATTCTTTAAAGACTGATACTTGTCCGGATCGACGGACTCAACGAACTAATGGAGACTCAGTGGAAACTCTACCGAAACTCTTAACGGAACAAAACGAAAGCAACTTTCTTATTGTAAGGTTGCTTTATTATTATTTTTTTTGCTGAGGATTTCTGAAATTGTTTACTGCAATTAAAAAAAAAAAAACAATTTTGTAAGGCATTTTAACTGTTACTCTCACATACATTTGTACTTATTTAATAAAACAAGTGCTTACTACGTTACGGAGAGAAATGTTAATGAAGACAGGTTTTTAATATGCATTTTTTAAACAGTAAATATTTACTTGAGAAAAAGAATTATATGAGCCTACAGCCTATGAGCCGCAATGTAATTTGAGCAGATGAGAGAAATTAATGACATTTTAATTTAAACAGCTAAAATTGTAGCTGAAAATCACAGAACAATTCAACTCTTACAGCACTGGCGAAATTACAGTGTGTGGTCGCCGGAAATGACCGCTAAACTCACATAAGAAAAATTTCGAACCGCGCATTCAAACTTTCAAAAACTGCCTGGAATTAGAAGTTTTTCGCTATAACACCTAACGTGTTGTTGCCTTAAATTACGATGTTGCTAATTGTTTTTTACTTGTATGGAAGTCATGAATGTGAATTTTACTTAGGCATTAGTTTTTGTAAACCTGTAGCGCTCTTTTTCCAACTAGTACATACAACAGAGTAGTTACATTTATGCAAATTTAAACTTAATACCTATTGTAACTCAAATTTAAATTTTTATAAGAAATATCTGACTTTCTGTATATTTTCGTGTTATATAATATTAAATGGTTTGCATAAATCTTGCTCGAAAAAACTTATTTCTAATTTGTATACTCTTGCAACATGTTGCTACAGAGTATAATAGTTTTGTTCACCTAACTTAATTGTATCGCCTAAAACTAATCGAGTTAGATATGGAGTAATGTATACTTATATAAATGATCAACGTGAAGAGCTGGGTCGATATAACTATGTCCGTCTGTCCCTCCGTTCGTCCTTCTGTCTGTATATACGCGAACTAGTCCCTCAGTTTTTGAGATATCGTTTTGAATCTCTTTTCTCCCCGAGAAGCTGCGGAACCGCCCATATCGAACCGCTATAGCATATAAGTAGAAACAATTGAATATGCTCTTAAATCAAGTAAAATATTATTTGCCATTAGAAAATCTGTTAAAAATCTGTTTTCAACTTTAGAAATGAATATTTCGACCGTGCTCACGCCACATTGTTTATAAATGTATAAAAAAATCTTCAACACAATATTTGTTAAATTTTGAAAGAAAAATATGGTCAAATATGTTATAAAAATTTGGAAAATTGTTATTTCGAAAATGTTTTCAAATATTTTACCACCGCTCTCTCTCTGTCATGCAGTTAAAATGCCCAGTAAAATACATGTTTTATATAGTTATTAATTTTCATACGATTAACTTAAAATTAGTATTACAATTAACTAAATTACGATTTACTGTTCATACAACGACTTAAGATTTATCATCATACTTTGCCTTAGCGCTTTGCGAATACTCTCTTTTACACATAAGTACATACATATATACTGTATATTCTATAAGCTTTGCATGTACTATGTACCACAAATGTAGCTGTTAATTAGTCCTATGTATCAGTTTTATATGAAAAAGTCTAATTGTTAGTTGCATAGTTATAATAAGCTCATATGTTATACATATTTAATATAGAAAGAAATAATGTACTCTTAGCTTTAAATTCATAAAGAGAAGCCTAAACATTTGTTCCAATGCAGACGTGTCTGTGCGGAGGAGGCAAACGAGCAACAAAGAAATTAAGAAGCATCCTTAAAGTGGACTTGTTGCTAGAAATCGCAAAATGAAATAACTACAGGTGAAATATAGCAACAGTGCCTCCAAAAATTGCTGAGTAATGCTAAGATTTTCTAAATATGGAAACTAGAGCTTAGCGTTTATGTCTCCGCAGCGCAGATATGTATGCACATGTAATCGCAAAGTTCCATTAAGACCATGCCAACATACACACACATACTTGTACATATGTGCAATTTAACAAATAATAAAAAGTATTTTAAAAAGTCTACAGAATAAAAGTAAATTGTTTTAAAATTAAAATAAAAAGCAAAATTAAATCAAAATTATTAAAGCACCATATATGTATGTATTGTATTATACACTCATAAGCACACACACATATACATATATATTGAATTTTAAATAAAATTATTATACCTGTCACATAAATCAAGATCAATGCGACTATCCCATACATACATACAAAATATAAATATATTATATAACTATTATTACAAACAATATAGGGCAATCGCATACATCCACATATACCAATGTATGTATATATTAGCTGTTATTTATGAATGTAATTGCATGTCACTAGCATTGTTTTAACTTTTGTTATAGGCTTGTTTTTTATTGTAGTTTAAGCGCTACGCTTGAAATTACTATTAGTTTTACATACCTACGATATTTATGCATATGTATGTGCGTTGCAAAGTAAACAAATTTTTTATAATATACACACATACATACATACATTTACTACAATATATATTTAAACACATATGATGCATGTACTCACGTATAAAGGATGTTAAGCGTAAAAAGAACAAAAATATAAAGAAAAAAATTTAAAAAGCCATTAAACGAGAAAAGAAAATAAATAAAACGATTTATAAAGAAGTGATAATATTGAAGCTTATCTTTAAATTTTTTTGGAATGTTTATGATGCCAGAGCAATAACAGGAAAATTGCGGAAATTTCGACAGGTGTCGCTACAGTCGAGATAAATTGGTAAAAGTTTCAATTTGTGTAAAAAGTTGGTCAAAGCTCTAAATATGGCTGTAATCCTTCGGTAACGTCAATAGGTTGGCAGAAAATCCCCGTACAGAATCTTTAATTTTTATATATAAAGTACTGACATTTTTTTTAAATCTCCTGAGGTATAACTTATCCTGATCCTTCGACGGGTAACCCCAAAAGTCGAGCTATCTGCTATCTGAGGCTTTTGCGAAATTCCAAACAACTGCGTTCCTCCGAAGAAAGAAGAAGACAAAATCTTCATTTAATTTTGACTGGATGGCCTGATATTAATGGTGAGTAAGCGGAAGAATAATCCTTCTACTCAAACCTGGTAAAACAAATAACCACGGGGTTTCATTTCGCCCGATATCCCGTCATTCTGTAGCCATGCCTTGATAACACCGTTTCTAACTACGCTTTAGATGCTGACTTGTCTCCGCTCTGACAATGAAGTTTCCGTATTGTACAAAGACAACCCATAGTATTTAAACTCGCCAAATTTAACCTGTGATTACTTTATACCTTAACATCTATCTAGGGACAGAGTCTTACAGACCAAACATCAGAGCCCAATACTTAAACAGGCATTAAGCGCCATTCACAGAGCAATTAGTAATTCTCGTTGACTCTCTTTCACTGAATGGCATACCAGCACTATTGCATTTAGGATATTGTAGCAGGTTAAATTCCGAATTATCCAAACCTGACCGCGACATACTCAATATACTTCTATACCCATATCTGTCCAGCATGACATATCCTGCTTGGTACTAATTAGCATGAAATATTGGAGATGAGAAAACTGCAGACGTGATGGTTGCCGTGATTGCTTATTCTAGATAACAAGCGCAAACGTAAGGCCACTTCAGAGCAGTACTTAACGTTGTTTAAGCGCAATGCGAAGAAGTGTCAGTGTCGTTTCATGACCGTCAACGAAATAGTGGAGTTTACCGGTGAACCTATTCCGAAGAGGACGATGATTGTCCTATAGAAAAGGTTCACCATTTTCTGGAATTCGCAAAGTAACTGGAGATACCTTGAGAAAGGCAAAACGGTGCAGGGTTCCCCTACATCGAATTATTGTTCCGATTTGGCCCCGAATTGTAGAAAAATGGCCATATTTGACGAGGAAACAAGTTCTCTCCCACCATGACAACGCGCGTCCCTCTACCGACGCCATGTGCAAATTGTTCGAATTACGCTACGAACACTGTGACTCTTCTTTCTATTTCCATTTCGCTGCGTACAGAAGTCTAACTCAGCGCCGACCCGCCCATATAGGTAAGTTAGGCAATTGCCTATCGCGCAAGAATTTTAGGGCCGGATTTTGGCTAATTTTCTTCGGATATTTTATTTATTTATTTTATTTCATTTAAGTCTTGGCAATATTATCAATTGAAAATAAAGTGGCACAAACTCTTAACATTTAAATAATGTCTGTTTTTTTCAAATTAAAGGCACATTTTTCATAATTAACTTTTTCCATTGTACTACTAATTAGAATAATTTTGTAATAATTATGTTAAAGCTTTTCAATATGAGTGTGTCAAAAATTTTTAATTTTGTTGTTAAGACAAAATAGGTTTAGAAGGGGCGGAGAATTTGGCATTTGCCTAGGGTGGTAAATTGTCTCGGGCCAGCTCTGGTCTAACTCATTATCCATAAGTACAATATTTTTACGCTTTGAATCCATATGAATGTAGCGTTCGTCGAGCACGTGATTAATAACAACTGATATGATATGATATGTAGTTGTCTCGATATTTTTCGAATACCATTTACTCTTAACTAATTGATTGGATTTTATATTTTGTTCATTTTTTCAACTTTCTATTGCGTAAGAGCTGAAATCAAAACTTTAAATTCCTTTTTTGTTTTCAATTTTTATGTATAAATTTTTTAAAACTGCACTGACGCTGCTTCCATTTTTACTCGTCTTGAATTTTAAATTTCTGCTTGGGATTAAAGTTAACGGTGATGAGACATGCGCTGAATATTTACTAATTTTGCTCAGCGACTGTACCATAATATCCGACATCATTAGTGTATAAATGTGAGGATACTCGATGAAGTGAGGGCTTTGCAATTGGTTTGGTTTTATAGCTTTAATTTTCCCTTGATTCCATAAAAAACAGATCGGCTATTAAAAACTTTACTTATTAAATATATCCATGGCGTCTTTTGGAGTTAAGTCTGGAATACGACGTTAAACATACCAAGGTGGACTAATATATATCTATAATCGAAGGATTGATGCTTCCATAGTACTCGCGAACACAGAAAGCACCTTATACTCCTTTGCATGACCACACGAACTAAATTCTTATTAAAGGGTGTTTGTTTAGACATGTGGTTTTCAAGAAGAAATAAAACGAATATAATTTAATGTTATGACCAAGATTTTAGCTTTATTATATAGATAAGGGTTTGTATTTTGTTAACTCCTCCGCTCCGCGAAAGGACATCAGATGCACCAAGCCGAAAGGACTTGGCTGATCTTTGCAGCGAGGCCACACATCATTGAAGATGAAGTCCAAAGAAAAGAAAATGTGGGTAGTGATCGATACTGGTTACAAATATCTAAACTTATGCAAGCTAAGCGCTTTCCAAGAGCTTACAACCTTAAAAGGTTATTAGCCTTCTCTGAGATAATGTAAGATGGTATGTAGCGATTAACTCTGACCACTACAGATTAAAACGTCACATGCACCAAATTTAAATCTGGTTGATTGAAAACTGTTGGCGGAGATACCGAAGAATTTGTTCCCTGATTACCTTGCAATATTCATAACCTCACCTAATCTTAGCTAAAAATTATTTTACAATTATATTGTATTCTTTACGGTCCAAAAAATCCACCAAATCTGCTTGGCTACAATAAAATGTAAATAAATGTAAAACTCTTGCAAAATAGAATGTTATTGTTTTTGTTATAGCAGGTACATATCGTAAATACATATATACTTACATATGTAGAGCTAATTTTAATGGTCGCCCCATCTCTGACATGCGTCGAATTCTTAATTACAGCGCGTAGCTCGATGAGTTTCATACAATACATGAAGTATCGAGTTTATTTCCGACCAAAAGAGAGAGAAAAAGCATGGTGTTCAAAAAAGCTGACCACAATCAACAAGTGCGCACGCGTAAATGGGCAATTACATATGTAGTATCTACTCACATCCAGAGGGCATAGACATATGAGTACCGTCCCGCACATGTAAAATGTTTAATTTGAAGCGACGTAATAATGCAAATTGAATCAAATTTAAATGCATCGAATCAACAATAAATAAATATGTGTATGTATGCATGTATGTATATATGTATGTGGGAATGTGTGAATATTTTCTTTACCGACAAAAATCAGCAGGGGTATTTAATGCGACAAAAGAAAGCGCCGGCGTTTTATAATCAAATGAGACTTTAAAGTGTCTGGTGTGCTGATCGATTCGTAGTAGTGGACTCATTATAAAAAAGTATACTGTTGCAAACAAACTCAAAGGAAGTGGAATAAAAAGTGAATTAATTGAGAATGACTTCGAAAGTGAGTTCCCATCAATTAATCAATAACTAAAAATAATTGTTTTTGTGAGCTCAACAAAAATATATAAATATTCTCATGATTGAGTAATAGAAATGATTGAAAATTATAAGTGATCTTAATGATTTTTAAAGAGATTGGTTCAAAAAATATATATGACATTTTCTTGTCAAACCTTTACATACTTTATTCAAAAACCTTTACATAGATTAATAGTAACAAATCTATCCAGGTACGATCCATCGCGGAATGCCTACAAACAACTCTGCTATAGCGTGTGGTCGAGTAGTATTATTCTAATAAAAAAGAAGAACGGTATATATAATAAACTTCGAGGAATCAATAATGAAAGCAATTTATAGTAGATGTCCCATTTCTCCTTCCATGAAAAAATGCGGGAAACACTTTTTATTCAGATTGATTAGTTTCCGTACATTTTTTCTTCTTTTTCATTGCAAAGGCTTGAAAAATATTGACAGAGGTCCCAATTGAGCAAGCCAAATCATATTTCTACTTCTCGTTTTAACTCGAAGAAACCACTATTTTCCTGTCCATGTCGTTATATTTCTTTCAATAGAATCTTTCACTCCAAGTTCCATAACTACATTGTGCGAGGTGTGTTCAAAGGAAAGGTTAATTTTGAATTTTTTTGAAAAGTACTTATTTATTCATCAATATCTAATTTACCCCTCGGATATAATACACTTGTGCCAAAGTTTTTTTCCTCGCATCACTTCTGAAATGCGCTTTTCGGTATGGCCATTAGATCTTTCTTCGATTCTGACTTAATCTTATCAATTGTGGCAAGACGCTTTCCTTTCATTGGTTTCTTCTGTTTTGGGAAAGAAATAAGAATGTTGACGTGATCGCACCTCCAGGATGCTCATCGTCATCAACATCTTCTCGGCCTTCTGTAAAGCGCTTGTATCACTTATAAACCCTTTTTTGAGACACATTTCAAGTACCTTGGAGTACTTTATTCCAATTTTAAGGCAAAATTTAAAACATATTCTTTGATTCATTTCTTTCCAAAGTCAAAAGTAGAAGAACACACAAAAACGTGACTAACCTTTTCTGTTGTCAAAAACAAACCACAAATCGAAATTAACCTTTTCCTTTGAACACACCTCGTATATATCTACATATTGTCTGCTCTTCAGTACCGAAGGCGTACAAAATAACTAATCTTATTGTGGACCTATTGTGTGATAGGAAAATTTTCTCATAAAATTCATCATCCGTTATGAAGTTTATACATATACAAATTTACAGACCAATACTGCTGATTACATAAATATGTCCGTGCTAAGGAACTCCCTCCCAAAATTCCTGGCGAAATATGTGATTCTGATGGAAATTAATAAAATGTATAATATAGGAAAAATAAATTTAACCTTCTTTATCTATCTTTATATATCTTATGACCACAGACAGCTTATTCAGAGTATCTGTCATATAAAAGATCAAATGTTTCGCAGTGCTTCTGACAGAATTACAATAAAATTTTGATAGTTTATTTCTTGTATAAACTCAACTCCTTTTAATTCTTGGTTTAAACTACTTGCGATATGGATATGACGCGTTTTTACTGATTATACCCTGAACAGCGTAATTTAAGTTTGTTACAAAATTGGTAATGTCCGTCCGTGAACTGGTATCTCAATTTAGATATTGATCTGAAATTATGCTTACATCCTTTTCTCCTCAAGAAACTGCTCATTTATCGGAACCGACGACATCGGATCACGATAGCATATGGCTACCATACAAACTGAACAATTAAAATCAAATTCTTGTAAGGATATTATAGCTTCGGGGCAACCGAAGTTAATATTTTTCCTTCTTTTAAATTCTTTCGATCTGCGCTACGAGATGCAGGTGACATTGGCTCAATTCTAATAATAATTCTTGTTTTAATGTTGCCATGTAAATACATCTTCTGATATTCCAAGAAAAGATATGAGAAATAAGAAATTTAAAAAATTTACAGCTAACTGCATACATCGGCCTGTGTGCAGCTTTCTTCATCATAGCACTTCTTGGCACACCTTGTACGGCACATTCCTCTTCGCAGACGACAGTGTAAGTAATGGAATGAAAACACGCCTAAAAGTAGGCTTACATTTACTAGCTCTGCTTTTATTTTTTCAACATTTTTCAACACAACTCACCACATTAGTGTACAACACACCACCAGCAACGATCCCGCAGCAGATGGCTTCTGGAAACGTAATGTCGATTGGAAATCACGCTGGGTAAAATATTGGCGACCGAAAGCGATCTACGTGCCCGTCTGGAAAAAAGTCTGGACTCCAGTAGTACAAAACGAATGGGTGCCACTGCCGAAAGTGCCACCAGGTTGGGAGGTGCGCAAGGATGGTGTGATCGACAGCACCAACAGTGGCTGGAAGAGTAGTAGTAGCTACGTTGATGACTCCTCGAGCTCATCCAGTAGCGGCAGCAGTAGCAGTGGTCTGCGCTCGGGCAAGATTTACAGCGGTTGGAGTAGAGGAAGCAGCGGTAGTTACGGTTCTAGTTATAGCAGCAGCGGCAGCGTTGACTGGAAGAAAGGTGTTAAACAAACCCGTGTACGTGAAGTAAACGTTGATTAACGCGGGGAAGTCGTAACGTAACTTTTATACCAAAGGCGATCCAAAAATTTAATACTATACACACATAGAAGTATGTATGTATATCCTTAGAATTAATACCAAATATCAGGTTAATATATTTAATTTATTTTAGTTTGTATATTTTGTTCCTCTAGTATTAAATTTAATCACGTAATACAGAAACTTAAATGACATTTCATTTTAATAATCGATTTCTTGCTTTCTTCAACTGAGGAAAGCCCGTATTGTTGTTTTTATAGCAGTGTATGTTGTTTTTATAGACAGTCTTTCAAATGCACCAGAAATTAATCTATAGTTCCATCTTTTACAAAAATATCTAACTTGCAAATATCGCTACCATATATCTCTTATAGGACACACTTAGAAATGAATCATTTCCTACTGTTGCCCTCTATTTTTTTCGAATATAAATTTTTGATGAGTTTTAAAAGTTCGTCTCTACAGAACTGTACCACGCAATTGTCATCCCCGCCACAACTGTACTCAAGTAGTGCAATGCTACATAAGACTTCCGTGTTAGACGACTTGGCTTTTAGTGACCTACTATATTACTGCCTACTTTCGAAGTGTAAGAGGTTAATTTCTTCGAAGAAAAAGAGAAGAACAGTCCCGAATGACCATTCGCAGGTTTAATATGAAATGCATTACACTTTCCAAATAAAATACCAAACATTGTCTAGAGCAACAAATAAAGTGCATTTTGAATAGCGAGTGGGGGGATTTTAGGGTGAAGATTAAGTAGGTCAAGGCCAAAGATCTCTACTTATTACAACAAAGTGCTGCTTTTGATTCCATAAGAATCTCAAAATTGAGGTTTTATCTCGCTAAAGCAAACACTTTATAAGAGTTTCCGCATGATCGTCCTAATATACATATGATGTGGATTACTCAGTATTCGGCTTAGATTTGGTGTCAACTAGTGCGAAAGAAACACAACTAATGTCCTGCTGTTGTGGACTCTACTCAAATCAGTTGTCCATTACTTCGCTGATGAAGACGAAAACGTATACGTCATTAATAAAATATATCGGCTATTAATAACTAACTGCAAAGGCAAATGTTTTATGCCACCTTCAAATTGGTAAACATTTTTAAGTTCAATTCCAAATAAAAGTGGTTTGGAATGAAGCATGGGTTTTAGAAAAATTGAAAAAAACAACATCGCTTTGTCAATTATATTTTTATACTCTTGCAACTACAACTAATCGAGTTAGATATAGCGTTATATATACATAAATGATCAGGATGAAGAGACGATTTGAAATCCGGGTTACTGCCCGTCCGTTCGTGCGACCGTTTGTGCGTAACTTAAGTAAAAATTGAGATACCTTAATGAAACTTAGTACACATGTTTCTTCGTTAGACGGTTGGTATTGTAGATGGACGTAATCGGACCACTGCCACGTCATTAATCGTAAAGCAATAAATTGCTATAACTAAGCTCCACAATAAGATAAAAGAATTTTATTTTGTATAACGAATCTCATTAGAAAGGGGCATCTGCAGTTTAAAAAAATTTTGCGTTGCCCCGCCCTCTAATAGGTTTAATATACATATCTCCTAAACCATTTACACTATTATAACCAAATTCGCACTGAACAAATCTTCTAAGCACCCCGACCGACAGTGTGAAAATGGATGAAATGTGGTGATAACCCCGCCTACTCCCCATATAACTGTTTTAATTAAATTACTAAAAGACCGATAACTCATTAAATAAACACAAATCAGAGACTTTAATTTTAACATATTGGATGGTAACACACAATTAAGGTATACGGGAGTCAATACAAAAATTGTACAATTGGCGTGGCACCGACCACTTTTAGATGAAAACCCATATTTCGGTACCTTATTGTTACAGTTGTTTTATATTAATGATGGTATGTGAGCTATCTGAATTAAACTCAGAGAGCAAATTCTAATACCTGAAGGTATTTAGTCAGCTTTGATCCATTGCAAGAGTATAACATGTTCGTTGACACCCGAACTTAGCTCTTCTTTACTTGTTTGGAATAAAACTTCCGCATTGAAATCAAAGAAGGCTTGGATGCTGTACAGTATGTGTATGGTGAGTGCTTCGATATCGACCGTAAGAAGTTGGTTTATCGAGATTCTGTGTGGTCGCACGTCGGTTTTTAATAAGACACACACACACAGGCACAGATGCCTGGAAAACGACTACCACGAAGGATAATGTAAAATGACAAAAGTCCACGGTCTGCGGTCTGCCAGGCAGATTGAAGGTACGCGGGAAAGCTGCGACAGCAAGCATATCAAAAGACCACGAGTGTCATATTCTGAGTAAAATATCGGAAAAAAGTTGTCGCCGCTATACCTATGTAGATGACGTGTTTACTCACGCAGAATAGCAAGCGTAACCGTAAGGCCACTCATGTGTCTTGAAACTGTTTAAGCGTTATCCGTAGAAGTTTTTGAGTCGTTTAACGGACCGTCACTGATACATGGATGCACTGTTACACACCAGAAATCTAGAAATAGTCGATCAGTAGGCTTTAGCGAACCTGCTCCGACGAAGGTTAACATACATCGATCATCTGGAAAAGCGCAGACTTATTGTCAAAATACAAAATCTAAGCCGAACTGCAGAAAATATCTTTTGACGAAGAAAAAAGTGTTTCTCAACCATGACAAAGCACTGGATCACAACTATGCCGTCCCCAGTGCCACTAACCGCATTCTCAATCGTAGGCTAGGCGCCTATCGTACCGCCCAAAAGTAAAACTCGCCACAATGCTCCGAATATCTTTGAAGACTTAATTGCAGGGTAAATGTTTAACAATTGCTAAAATTCGAAAATATTGAAACTATACCTTCATTATTTATTATGGTATAAAAAATAATTAACAATTTTTATTATTTCACTCAACTCTACTCGTACATGATGACAACTTCATATGTTTAATTAAATATTAATAAAATGAAATTAACCGAAACAACTTAGATATAAATTAAATATTTATATTTACTTGTCATAATCGTGGCATAAGTATAATATAAGTATATATAATTAAATTAAAATAATACAAAAGTTATAAAAAAGAATTCTTATGCATTGGTACGAATGGAAGGGCGAAAGGAATGGTTGGTAGGGGGGAGTGGATTAAAACTAAATAAATTTAAATAAAATTACGATTTGTGAAGCGACTTAAAAACTAACGACTGGAATACCTATTTACAAGTACAACAAAAAATGCGTTTAACTGATGTGAAATGTAACAACAAAAATTTTGTGCAACGCAATAATTTACGCACCAGGGAACTTGAGGCCCTGACCTGGCGTTTGCGCCACCGCCGCTGCAGCTACAGGTTTTGTACCCACCGCGGCGGATGTTCGCACCTCAGTCGCTTTTGCTGATTGAAAATCGACTGTGGCAACGGGCTTGAGTTGTGTCGCTTTGTCATCGCGTTTCCACACCACTTTATTACTATCCTGCGTCTGGACATCTTTGCGATCCCAGCCATGCTCTACGTGCTCGTGGTGGTGATCATGATGATCGGGTGTGGGGAACCATTCGGATATGATAACCGGTCGCCAGATTTTCTTCCAAGCAGGCACCCAAATTTCCTTCCACCCAGGCACCCAAATCTGTTTCCATGCTTCCTTCCATTCAAGTTTTTTGTCTTCGACCCAAATTTGTTTTTTCGCCGGTTTCCAAATTTGCACCCAAGATTCTTTCCATTCGAGTTTCTTGTCGGGAATCCAAATGAGTTTCTTAGCTGGCTTCCAGATTTGTTTCCACGCTTCCTTCCATTCCAATTTCTTGTCATCAACCCAGATCTGCTTTTTCGCCGGTTTCCAGATTTGCTTCCATTCGTCCTTCCATTCCAATTTTTTGCTTGGTACCCAAATTTGCTTCTTTGCTGGCTTCCAAATCTTCTTCCAATGTGATTTCCAAACCAACTTCTTCTTCCACAAATCATGACTGGTATATTCCCAACCTTCAGGGTCTTTACCCAAATACTTCTCACCAGGTACACCCACCTTAATCCACTCTGGCGTCCAGTATTGCTTCCACTCTGGTACTTGTATTTCCTTCCATGCTGGCACTTGTATTTCCTTCCATACTGGCACCCAAATTTGCTTCCACGCTGGCACTTGTATGTCCTTCCATGCGGGCACTTTCGTTGGCACCCACACTGGCTTCCAAATCTTCTTCCAATCCGGTACTTGTATTTCCTTCCACGCGGGCACCTTTATCTCCTTCCAAATGGGCTTCCACACTTGCTTCCACGCCGGCACTTTGATATCCTTCCAAGCGGGCACCTTAACTGCCACCCAAATCGGTTTCCAGATTTGCTTCCATGAGGGATTCCAAATTTGTTTCTTCGCTGGTTTCCAAATCTTTTTCCAGCCTTCTTTCCATGTCACTTTCTTCTTCCAGAAGCCCGGATCGTGATGATGCTCGTGATGGTGGTGTTCGTGCACCTCATGCTGATCGTGGTCCCAGCCGATGCGTTGCTGAGCAACGGTGACACTCTTCGCTTGCGATTCGGCGGTCTGCTGATCGATCAGCGCCTTGCCGGCGCCAAGTGTGAGTAGGGAGAGCGTACCAAGGGCACAAAACTGTGGAAGAGATTCAGTATGAGAGCTTTAATAGAAATTATAATAAAAGTGAGAAATAATGTCGAGAATGCGGTATATAGATATACTCTATACATTTGTAAATTTCTATGCCTTCACAAATAAACATGCAAAATTGTTAAAAGCAGGATGTAAGTTACTATATAATTGAGGTCATAAGCAGAATTCATAAATAACCGTGACCACCCCTTAAAAAGGTCATTGTCTGGCATCGCTGTCTGCAAATGAGGTTAATATGCTGAAAGCGAGCTTGCGGTTGATCGTGCTGGCTGTCTTCGTTGATCAGCAACTGGGCTGCTGAACCATTCCAAATTTGCATAACGCAGTGAAGGAGCGCTGACCGCAATATACATCACATACAAACTTACATTCAAGCTTACATGTGTGTTGTTGTGTATTGTTATATTGAAATGTTATGTAATTTCTCAAAATGGGAATTGCGATTGTGGGTGTCTGGTCGACAAGGTTGATGCAAAGCAAAAAATGTAACAGTTTCAAAAATATTTCATAACAACAATAGCAACAAAAGAGTTCATTAATTAGT